AACTAAAATCCAGCATTCCAAACAAGTGGTTGAAGATTTTAAGCAGGATGGATTATCTGCTACCATGTTTGAATGATCAGGGAGGACGACAGCCACTGCTGAGATTGATGGTCATTCTTGCCTTTTTCTGCACATCAAGAAAGAGGAGAACCTTTTTTTATTTTAGGAAGAAGGAGAAGAAAAATACATGCAGAATCAACAAGCTTAATTATGATTCAGATATTAGTCAAATCACATCCAGACACCTTCATTCAAATTCATTTTAGAAAAAAAATTACAGGGCTTTGGGTTCCTGGATTTTGTTCCTAAACCACAGGTCTGTGTTATGTTTTGGATAAGTAATACTGACACTCTTTTTTTTAATCAAAGGTGAATTTAAACCCAAGTCTCTTGTTACTTAATATTTCATATTTCTGATCTGGGGGAAGGACTTCTATCTTTTGACCCTAATAACATCGATCATTACAAAATTGGATGCGCCAAGCAAATAATTCCATTCTAGTTTTAGGTTCTGCTTTGATTCCAATATGTAGGAGTTAAGTCACTTTGATGCAAAAATATGCATCTCTGGAAGCTTCCCTAAGTGTGTGTTCAGTGTCTAGTTTTCTCTGATTTTGATTTTTAAAATTATTTTGATTAAATAAAAAAAAAAAATGAGGGAGTTGCTATTTTCTTATTTTTATCTTCAGAAGTCTCTTAGAAAATGAAAGTCGAAAGCTATGCTAAATGAAAAACATGTTAAAAAAGATGTGTAAAATTGAGCAGGACTCACTTAACGACCGCACCGCTTAGCAACAGAAGTTCTTGCCCCAATTGGACTTGTAAAACTCAAGAACAACCTGTAGCCACTTTAAATACACAAAAGCAAAATGGTTTTTCATCTGTGTTTGCCCCGAACCATTCTACTTTGCAAATAAAAATATAACCTTGGGAATCTAGGGCTACTCCATTATATTTCTTTGTATGCCGCACCATCTGGTGGCATCCTCAGTTATTACATTTCTTCCGTTGTATTTTCATCCCTACTGCTATGTGCCAGCGTAAAACAAAATGTTATCAGTAAAATCAGAGAAACTTCCGGCGAAGGAAATAAATAAATAATTTATTGTTTACAGCTTGTCTTCCCTCTTTTTGTCAAACTTATTCGTGCATGTGTTTTTACCCATCTTAGACTCTTAACAGTAGCCTGTGAGATAGATTGGGATTAGAGTAGGCTAAACTAGACTAGAGTAGGATTTAGGATTTTTAGGATTTTATTAAGGATTTATATGCCGCCCTTTTCCCTGAGGGGACTCAGGGCGGCTTACAACAATGAGGGGAAGGGGGTGCAAGACAAGACTTAAAAGAAAAAAAATCGTGAATAAAAGAAAATTATCCATAAAAACACAACATTCACTCAACATTCGGGCGGGGTGAGAGTAATCCTATCCCCAGGCCTGACGGTATAAGAATTACTAATGATCTGATGGTCAATTTGGAAAAATCCTTTGTTAGCGAGCACCTAATATTCTCTTCTACATTGTTACATTTTCAAAGCTCTTTCTCTTTTATTCCCTTTCAAATAGCTCCATTCATTTCTTCAAGGCATTTCTTGGGACTGTGAATGCATGTCCAACTCTGGGAATGGGGGA